TCTTCCAGACTGCCAACTGCCCAATGCCCCGATTGATCTAACCGGGGACCGCGATGCGGACACGGAATTCGAGGCAGCTGTTGGGGGCGATGTGTTCCTGGATGCTCAGGAGGAATTTCCGGCCTCGAACCCTGAAGTCGGGGTCGAGGGAAATGTTGCTGAGGGCGGAATTCCGAGGGGCGGAATTCCGAGGGGGGTGTTCATTGATCTCGCGGAAGATGACGACGACCCCCACCGAGCGTTGTTTGAGGAGAATTGGGAGGAAAATGCTAGCCGAAGCCCAACCTCTGAAGATAATGCCACCCGGCGAAGTATTTTTGGGGAACCGCCCCGTGGCAATGTGAACGGCCCAGAATCACAGGCATCGCCACATGGAAGTGCACATGGTGTCGGATCGTCGGCTGCGCCCGCGGGAAATGCTGAGGGACAAGAACCAGAGGCTGCGCCACAGGGAAATGCGGAGGGGCAAGCATCGCAGGCCGCGCCTCAGAGAAATGCAGATGGGCCAGCATCAGCAACGCATGAGTCAGTTCGAAAACAGGCCGACGTGGCCAGCAGGATTCGCCGCGCGAAAATCCCTTTTGATTATCTCGCGGCGAAAACCAGAAAAGACTACATCCTGTATTGGCTGCACTACAAGTGGTGGGTCATCATGTTCATGTCAACGCTGCCCAAGACTGAGGTTCCGGCGGAGGAGCGTCTGAACCCGCTGGCGCCTGACCAGGTTGGAATCCATCTGGGGGACGACAAAAAGGCAGAGTGGTCAACTGTGGATTTGGATCAAGTTTATCTCCACGGGCCCCGTGTTACTGGATGGAGGATTCAGAGGTTCCTGCGGTACATGGCAGAGGAAACCCCCGCGCAGGCCGAGATGATGCGTAGGGGCGAAGAAGTGGTGGCTGGAAAGGAGCCCATCCCTAGTACGCCGAGCATGATGAAGGCAAAGATGAGCGCTTTGGGCTTCCTGGGCAGACTTGAAGCTCGACTCTACGACTACCCGAAGGCCCAAGCAGATGAGTACATCGGCGAAGCGCGGGAGTACATGAAGCTCAAGCTGAAACAGCTGCACGACAAGCAGTTTGAGTGAGTATTTACACACTTCATGGCCAAACAGATTCTCGAAAATTTGATGCCTAAGCACGTTCCATGTGGGTCCATGCAGGAAGGGCAAGGATCAGCACCGAAACTCTCTGGACGATTGCTACACGTCGGAGCAGTACGCGGACCTGCACGAGAAGCACTTTTTGAGGCAAATCAAATTGTGCTACCAGAGAACCAGGATTGCATTATCAGAAAGTCTCTGGCGGTCTTTTGCGGTGCAGGTGATGATTCAACTCGCACACCAAATGTTGGGGAGGGGATGCAGCATTCGTGCTCTTCGATTCGCCAACATGTTTGTCCGCCACACGCGTAGCAGCACGGCCGTCCCCGACCGCCAGAAGGATCTCCCTGTGGTGGTTTTCGCCTCTCGAAAGTCCAAGACGAATGCGACCAACAGGCTGACCCACCAATTCTTGGCCCGGCACATCAACTTCGCGCTTTGCCGTGTTGGTGGTCTTTTTCTGTGGATTCATTTCGTCTACGACCTCGTGCCACTGCGATTCGGAGCGGACATCATTCCGCCACTGGACTTCAGCGACCCCCTTCAGTGGTCAAAGAAGCACATTTTTTTCCCATTGAGGCACGGAAGGGAACAACTGCAGGAAGAGCTTCCGTACATGACCCACAACAACTGGATTAATTGGGTCATGCACGAAGTAGCTCGACCGCCCTGGCGGATCAGCAAAAAGACCCATGCGTTTCGCCGATCGGGAGCCCAAGGCCTGAGTGACGATCGCTGTCCCGACCCCGACATCAACGCTCTCGGCGGCTGGGAGCAGGGCGAGATGCGAAAATCCTACGTCGTGGGAGTTCCGTTTTGGCCGGTCTTGATGATGGCCGGATTCAGTGGGGAGCCGGGAGATTACTACATTGGCAGAGCGCACGCTAAACTTGACAATCCAGCCGAGTGGCAACAGTTGCAAAACCTCTTCAAGCTGTTCATCTTCCCGCGCCTCGAATCTGATTTGGCAAAGGTATCCCTTCATTACCCACCCTTTTGCAGTGTCTAATGTTGCACTTGGCAAAGCTGAATGTCTTCTCTGTTCTATCATCTCAGGTCGATAAGTACAACCACGACAATCCGGATAAGCCGCACCACTCTGGCAGAAGTTTTTTGGAGGCTCTTGCAAACCCTGGGCGAGACATCGTGGCACAGGACCTTGCCATGTGGTGGTTCTACTGCCCCGATCACGACCATCTGTTCAACGGTACAAGACGGCCATGCGAGTGCCAGCGCCACCCGTACACGGACATGAATCCGCTCTGCCGCCACCCTCTGTTTCAGAAATGGGCCATCAAAGTGGCAATCATGCACAAGGCTGGCATTGAACTTCGTGAAGCCAGAGGCAGCTCTGCAGCCGCTGTAAGTACAACAGTTCTCTGATCGGCCTTTCCATTTCGACAGACCTGACATTGCCTGAGAACCCTCGTCCGTTTTCCCGCAGGATGCGATCTACAAGCTGAACTCATCCCGAAAGTACCAGAAGCTCCTGGTGGAGAACAACCTGTACCGGACGGAATGTGGTCAGAAGGATCACGAGATCGGCGAGCTGAAGAACAGGCTCGCTGAAACCGAAGAGAGGGAGAAGAAGACGGCCGCTGAAAACAAGCAGCTCAAAGAGGAGCTGGCTGCTCTGAAGGCGCGTGCAGGGAGCAGCGCGAACGCACAGGCTGCTGATCGAGGGACGGGCTCGTCGACAATGGAGGAAGCTGGCGGGGAAGCTCCGAAGCCCCAGAAGGCACAAGTCACCACTCCAGTGCAGGCATTTTTCGACCTTGTCGTTAAACCCTGGCGGGACTCGGAGACGCTCGCAGAGGCATGGGAACACTGGGTGAAGGTGACATTTTTTATGGACGGAAAGACTCTCCGCCAGCTGTCGTCCGAAAAAAGTTTCTACCCCACTTTCTCGTACATTGAGAAGGGTGTGAAGGACGATACTGGCGACAAAAAAATGAAGCGGATGAGGAACGTGATGCTCACAGTCGAGAAGTATAGGGCTAATGAATCGGAGGAGGCCACCCGAGATGCCATTGCGAAGATCCAAAAGGACGTGGTGGGTCGGAGTTCGATCAGCACTCTGGCGGATGGCGTGATTCTCGGAAACGAGCCACCTCCGAAGAGGGATAATCCCGGCAAGGATAAGACGACGGAGAACAAGCGCCGCAAGGTCGGGTACCTCCTCTTCGCCGCCCAGATGGAAGGTGACGCGTGGGGAGAGAAGATGTTTGGGGAAGATGTTTGGAAGCAGATCAAGATCGACGAGCCAAAGAAGCTGGCTAAACTGAAGAAGTAGATCACGCTACTGAGACTTCCTTACGTGATCGGTTCCGCTCTGTTTTCCTACGACTCCACGTATCTATCATTGCCAGCATCCGTTCTTAGACCTCATTTCTGCTCTTCTCGTGACGTTGATACCTCTTTTCCTTCTTTTTAATTTTCTCTGGTCTACATCAACTTTTAGAGTCACGTCATAGTCATAGGGACGTCTGTAGTTCCATTAGAAATTTTACACCCTCCGTACATCGTAACCTTCGCCTATCATACCAATCGGATCGTGTTCGAAACTGGCTTGTCGATAACAGTGCTGAGACGGCTCAGACAAAATACGCGAACAAATCTCGAAAGTGCTTACTCACTTTGGAGTATATTGTTACCTGGCACACTAGTCAGTGTAACCTGGGAATCTCTCGAAAATCAGGGTTAGCTACAGACTATGATGCCAAGCGAGAAAGTAATCACTGCGCCGCCAGAGAGCACTTCCCTCCACCTTTCCTTGTCAGAATCCCAGTCACTAACCACTGGGATAAAAGGGCTTGTTTGTGTAGCGGGTGAGTGCGCCCATAACCCCCCAGGCCAACGTGCCTGTAACCCTTCCCTAGGATCAATCGGGGATCACCAGTGGACCTCTGACACCCCCTCGCACTGGGATGCCCGAGGTGCACACACCGGGATTCGAACCTGAGACCTTCGCTCTGATACCATGTCAGAATCCCAGTCACTAACCACTGGGATAAAAGGGCTTGTTTGTGTAGCGGGTGAGTGCGCCCATAACCCCCCAGGCCAACGTGCCTGTAACCCTTCCCTAGGATCAATCGGGGATCACCAGTGGACCTCTGACATTCCTTCCTTCTGTTCTAGAGTCTAAATCCTCCTTTAGAGTAACACTAAAGTTATTGGAACGTCTATGTTAAGAATGGGAATATCTTGAAAACAGGGGAATGTGTCGATCATCAAAGCATGCCACATATATCCGAAGCAAGAGAAGACTTAGGGTTGCACTCGCGTCACGCCTAATGTTCACGAGCGAAAACCTGAGTAGGTTAGTTACTGGAAAACAATCACACAAGCAATCAAGAAAACACCGTGGTACAGACCTCTAACCCTCGAGAATTGAAGTCCATTTTCACGCCAAGCTTTCGAGCAATGCATGCAACAGATAAAGCTGGCACCCTCGGAATTTTATACCCACATTCGCCGTCTCCGTCCACCGCATTAAGGCTGGCCAAGATGCAGCATTTCTGATATGCGTAGACTGCGCCGGCAGAGAGCACCCGCACCAGTACACCAGCACCTTGTAAGCCACTTCGGAAACCTAGACAGTGTTTAGAGTACTGGCATGTCGGAATATTATTCCCCATGGTCTGCGGAGGATTGTGTTCGAGCGAAACAATTGGATTTGAGAACAATTTGAGACGTTGACAAACTATGCATCGGAAACAAAGTATCAGAGACAATATTGTATAGGGCTCTATCAAGGGGCCAAAACAGTACAGAGCTCTAAGTCCGAAGTAACCGAACTGTTTTTACAAGCTGGAAATGGAAGACTCGAAAACTACAACATGCGACAGACTATAGTACAGAGCTGCAGCAAACTCGAAACTACCCTCCCCCTACTGCATCACTCTTTGCCTCCCGCATTCCCCTTCCGCCGTCCCCCTTTTGTGGGCTGGGGAAAATGGAGCATCCCACCCTGATACGCGTAAGGATTCTGGTTTGCGTGACAGCACTCGCACCAGTACACCAGCACCCTCGAAACCACCTTGGCCATTTCAATAGCCTCTGCCTCCCCGGGCTCGGGATCCACAAGGCCGAGAATGGCCTTGGTGAGCACCACTTCCCAATCCGCCTTCTCGTGCGTTAGGTTCTTCACGGCTTTTAAAGTCCACACTCCAAGCCGAGCAGTAGAGGTTGCTCGACTCGCAAGGCTTGCCTCGTTGAGCGTGCCACGAGCCGCCTCATCCGCACCCTCCGCCCAGTCCGGGTGGGGAATGCCGATCGAGGCACACCACAAGGTGTAGAGGGTTGCAGCTACTCCCGCTGCATAGACCGCGGGAGTGACATTCGCGGGGGGCGACACCAGCCCACTCCCTCCGTGTACCAGGGCCTGTCCAATCCCTGTGCAAACGGCCACCTGGAAATGCGCGCCGTCCTTCATCCGTGCATGTGTCTTGTTCATGACGTTTTCGAAGCTGCACAGGCGAGGTGGGTACACGGTTAGTGTGGGAAAAGGGGAAAATGTACTAAAACTTGCTAAGTCGAATCGAATACTCACTTCTCGAACTTGTCGAGGTTCAATTCGTTCATGACACTCCAGACACCCGTCGGGAGGTCACGAGCAAAATCGAGGTGGACCGCCCACAAGCCAAGCTCGGCAGGATCCAAGCCGTAATGTGGCATGTCGGTGTCGGGGAAGTAGGTCATCCAACAGACGGCCACTGTGAAATCGCGCAGCTTCCTCTCCTTGAAGCTCCCCATGTTCCTCTTCACACCTCCGACGGTTTGCTCCGAGTTGAAGCGCACGGACACCACTTCCCCCTTCTTGTTCTTCTTTTCGCGTGTGGTAAGACCACTCGATCTGAAATGCCTTGTTTCTCCCCACCGCTTCCCTAGCTCATCTGGTAGCGCATCCGTTCTTCGCGGTGCCACCTCTCCCGTCGCCTCCCCCAGCGTTGGTTGAACGTTCTGATTTCCCGACACATTTTCACCGACACATTCATCTGACGCAGCTGTCCCCAAAGACCCCTCATCCGCGTCGAAGTTCGTTCCCGCCTGGTCAATGCGTGGCCTTTTCGATGGCGGTTGAGTCTCTAAAACTCCATGGCCTGTCAGTTGTACTGAACCCTGCCGCTCCTCCACGAGGTCCACTACTTGCAGTGGGTCATCGGGAACCACTTGAAGAATCCCGGCCCACCCTTCTCCTTCCGCCTCTCCTCCGTGCCGTTGCTCCGCTGCCCCTTCCTCATCCTCACCCGCAATCCGTCGCCTCTCGTTTTCCATTTTCTCTGTTTCTGCCTCTAACTCCTTTTGTTGCCTCTCCTCTTCCTCCTTTGCGGCTTCCTCCAACCGTGCAATACGCTCGATCTCCTCCATGGCTTTCTGACGCTCTATTTCGAGGTCTCTTTTTCGCTTTGCTGCCTCCAACCACTTGTTTCAGCGATCTTTGCAATCTGCTGACGCTTAGCTTCTAACTCCGCCTCCATTTGTGCCCGCCTCCTTTCCATCGCCCTCGCCTCCTCCTGCCGCTTCTCCTCCTCGCGTTCCGCCCTCGCCTCCTCCCTCTTCCGCTCTTCCTCTTCTTCCTGACGCTTCTCCTTTTCGCGTTCCGCCTTCCTCGCCTCCTCCCTCTTCCGCTCCTCCTCCTGCCGCTTTTCCTCCTTTTCGCGTTCCGCCTTCCTCGCCTCCTCCCTCTTCCGCTCCTCCTCCTCCTTCTGCCGCTTCTCCTCCTTTTCGCGTTCCGCCTTCCTCGCCTCCTCCCTCTTCCGCTCCTCCTCCTCCTTCTGCCGCTTCTCCTCCTTTTCGCGTTCCGCCTTCCTCGCCTCCTCCCTCTTCCGCTCCTCCTCCTCCTTCTGCCGCTTCTCCTCCTTTTCGCGTTCCGCCTTCCTCGCCTCCTCCCTCTTCCGCTCCTCTTCTTCATCTTGCCGCTTCTGCTCCCTTTCGCGTTCCGCCTTCCTCGCCTCCTCTCTTCTCCGCTCCTCTTCTTCCTCTTGCCGCTTCTGCTCCTTTTCGCGTTCCACCTCCCTCGCCTCCTCCCTCTTCCGCTCCTTGTCCTCCTGCTGCCGCTTCTCCTCCTTTTCGCGTTCCGCCTTCCTCGCCTCCTCCCTCTTCCGCTCCTCCTCCTCCTTCTGCCGCTTCTCCTCCTTTTCGCGTTCCGCCTTCCTCGCCTCCTCCCTCTTCCGCTCCTCCTCCTCCTTCTGCCGCTTCTCCTCCTTTTCGCGTTCCGCCTTCCTCGCCTCCTCCCTCTTCCGCTCCTCCTCCTCCTTCTGCCGCTTCTCCTCCTTTTCGCGTTCCGCCTTCCTCGCCTCCTCCCTCTTCCGCTCCTCCTCCTCCTTCTGCCGCTTCTCCTCCTTTTCGCGTTCCGCCTTCCTCGCCTCCTCCCTCTTCCGCTCCTCCTCCTCCTTCTGCCGCTTCTCCTCCTTTTCGCGTTCCGCCTTCCTCGCCTGCTCCTTTTTCCGCTCCTCCTCCTGCCACTTCTCCTCCTTTTCGCGTTCCGCCTTCCTCGCCTCCTCCTTTTTCCGCTCCTCCTCCTTCTGCCGCTTCTCCTCCTTTTCGCGTTCCGCCTTCCTCGCCTCCTCCTTCTGCCGATTCTCCTCCTTTTCGCGTTCCGCCTTCCTCGCCTCCTCCTTTTTCCGCTCCTCCTTCTGCCGCTTCTCCTTTTCCCGTTCCGCCTTCCTCGCCTCCTCCTTCTGCCGATTCTCCTCCTTTTCGCGTTCCGCCTTCCTCGCCTCCTCCCTCTTCCGCTCCTCCTCCTTCTGCCGCTTCTCCTCCTTTTCGCGTTCCGCCTTCCTCGCCTCCTCCCTTTTTTGCTCCTCTCTCCGCCGCTTATCCTCCTTTTCGCGTTCCACCATCCTTACCTCGGCGGCTGTACCCGCCGGTTGGTTTTCCGTCACTCTCCCGCTGCTAACAGTCCCAGGCCGGTCCTCCACCCTCGTATTTCCCAACCCGCTCTCAGCCCGCCTCTTCTTTGCAGCCGCCGCTTGCGCCGTCTGAACTGCTTGCCGCTTCCGCGCTTCAGCCGTCCTCCTCTCCACGCTCTCCTTCTCCTTCTCTTTCTGCACTTTCTTTGCTGCGTACGTCTCTCTCCAGTTTCTCCTCACTGGTTCAGACAAGTCAATATCTGCCACACCAGCGCCCGTCTCACCCGCCTCACCCTCGGATGTCGCGGCAAACCTTTCCATCACTCGTTGTGCTGCGGAGATTGGGATGTCCGGGGAATCTGCTTCGGGCTGCGTTCGCGAAGGCCTTGGTGTGGCCTCTGCTCCGGCGGTGGGTGGTTTTCGGACTTTGATGGGTCCAGTCAGCCCTTTGAGCTTTGTTGACAGTCCAGAAAGCGCCTTCTGAATCTTGGTGAAAGTCAGATTGTTCTGGTCGTCGGCAGTTCTGAGATCCTCCCACACTGTGTATACACTGTTGTCAATAGCTGCTTGCAGGTGTTCCATGGAGCTGGATGTGATCGTGGCCTCCAGCGACGATCGCTCTATCACCTGCTCAACCACACTCTTCAGCTTCACCCCTAAGTTCTCGAAAAAACCCTCTAACTTTTCCTGCAATGCTCCCACAGCCGCTGCTGCAGCTGCGCGACCCGCATCAGCTGCTGCCGCTCGTGCTTCGGCGACAGAGGTCGAAACAGCAGTACGCAATTGGTTTAGCTCGTTGCGTTCCCGGACCACCTCAGCCTTGAGCTCGTGGTACTCGTGAGTTAGATCATCGTAGTCCTGCATGTGGCGCATGTCCCAACCCTGCATCTGCAACCCAAACTCGCGAATCTCTGCCATGCAGTCGCTGAAACGAACACGTTGCTCCGACGAAGTCCTGGCCACGGACCTTGCCACCAACGTCAAACGCCGCATTAGCTCTGCTGTGGTACGCACCCTGCCGCCAGCTGCGATGCGGTCGCCAGCCTCCTCAAACCCTCGCTCCGTCTCCTCGAAAACCTGGGGCCCCGCATTCTCCAGTCCCGCCAGTTCCGTCTCCACAGCCACCCATTCACCATCCTCTAGTTCCTCTGCATGCACCGCAGCAGGATTCTCCGCCGCTCGTGGATGATGCCTCTGCATAGGGAGCGCACTCGCCGCACTCTCTATTTCCTCGTCCACCCGTCCTCCCGCATGTCTCTGCTGATTCTCCCTGTGTCGCATTCCCTCCATTCCCCATCCCACCCCACGCCAGACCTGATCCTCCGCCATTCTCTCACCCTGCCGCGTTCCACGTGCTTCACCCTCTCACCTACCAGCTTGCCTTGACTGCTCGACCCTCCTACGGTCTCCCTCGCCGACCCTGTTTCGAGCTGCTTGATCATCACGCCGGCCACCTTCCCGCTGTATTACCTGTCTTGTTCCGCCAGTTCTCAATCCCGGTAAACCAACATCCGCTGCCCGACCAACAGTCGTCCCCTGATGCCCCTCGGTTGGGTGGTCGCCAACCACCACTTGCCGAGCTCCTTCCCCTGCATCCAGCCCCAACTGCGCTTGAAAGACCCTCGCGCCCCTATGGCCATCGATCGTGTGACGAGTTCCATCCCCACGCCGCTGCCCCCCAGCACCTTGTTCATTCAACCCAACAACCTTTCTCTGCCTTTCGTGCCTCTGTGTAGTGCCCCCTATCCCACGCCGCTCATTCTCTATACGTCGATCCCTCTGACGCTCCACACCCTGATGCTCACCGGCTTCCTCCGTCTGTTTGGCCAGTTGCCTCTCGCGCTCAAGCCTTTGAAGCTCTTTCCTTCTGCGTTCGCTTTCGATTCTCTTCCGTTCCCGTTCCTGCCTCTGCCGCGGTTCCTCCCTTTCGCGCGCTTCTCGCTCCTCGGTCTCGACCACCAGCCTCTGTCGCTCTCGATCCTCCACCCTCGCCTCCTTTTCGCGCGTTTCTCGACCCTTCGCCTCCAGCCTCTTCCGCTCCCGTTCGTCCTCTCTCCGCCGCTTTTCCTCCTGTTCGCGCTCTGCCTTTTTCTCCTCCTCCTTGTTCTGTTCTTCCTCTCTCTGCCTCTTGTCCTCCTGTTCGCGCTCAGCCTGCTGCTTCTCCTCCCTCATCTGCGCCTCCTCCCTTCGACGCTTCTCCTTTTCGCGCTCAGCCTTTCTTTCCTCCTCCCTCTTCCGCTCTTCCTCCTCCCTCTGCCGCTTCTCCTCCTGTTCGCGCTCTGTCTTTTTCTCCTCCCTGTTCCGCTCTTCCTCCTCCCTCTGCCGCTTCTCCTGTTCGCGCTCAGCCTCCTCCCTCTTCTGCTCTTCATCCTCCCTCTGCCGCTTCTCCTCGTTTTCGCGCTCCACCTTCGTCGCTTCCTCCCTCTTCCGCTCATCCTCCCTCTTCCGCTCGTCCTCCCTCTGCCGTTTCTCCTCCTTTTCGCGCTCAGCCTTCTCCTCCCTGTTCCGCTCTTCCTCCTCCCTCTGCCGCTTCTCCTCCTGTTCGCGCTCTGCCGTCTTTTCCCTCTTCCGTTCTTCATCCTCCCTCTGCCGCTTCATCTCCTTTTCGCGCTCCATCTTCGTCGCTTCCTCCCTCTCCCGCTCATCCTCCCTCTTCCGCTCATCCTCCTGCCGTTTCTCATCCTTTTCGCGCTCAGCCTTCTCCCTGTTCCGCTGTTCCTCCTCCCTCTGCCGCTTCTCCTCCTGTTCGCGCTCAGCCTTCTCCTCCCTCTTCCGCTCATCCTCCCTCTTCCGCTCATCCTCCCTCTGCCGTTTCTCCTCTTCGCGCTCAGCCTTCTCCTCCCTGTTCCGCTCTTCCTCCTCCCTCTTCCGCTTCTCCTCCTGTTGGCGCTCTGCCTTCTCCTCCCTCTTCCGTTCTTCATCCTCCCTCTGCCGTTTCTCCTCCTTTTCACGCTCCAGCTTAGTCTCTTCCTCCCTCTTCCGCTCATCCTCCTGCCGTTTCTCCTCCTTTTCGCGCTCAGCCTTCTCTTCCGCCCTCTTCCGCTCTTCCACCTCCCTCTGCCGCTTTTCCTCCCGTTCGCGCTCAGCCTTTTTCTCCTCCTCCCTCTTCCGCTCTTCCTCCTCCCTCTGCCGCTTTTCCTCCAGTTCGCGCTCAGCCCTTTTCTCCTCCTCTCTCTTCCGCTCTTCCTCCTCCCTCTGCCGCTTTTCCTCCCGTTCGCGCTCAGCCTTTTTCTCCTCCTCCCTCTTCCGCTCTTCCTCCTCCCTCTGCCGCTTTTCCTCCAGTTCGCGCTCAACCCTTTTCTCCTCCTCCCTCTTCTGCTCTTCCTCCTCCCTCTGCCGCTTTTCCTCCTGTTCGCGCTCAGCCTTTTTCTCCCTCTTCCGCTCTTCCTCCTCCCTCTGCCGCTTTTCCTCCTGTTCGCGCTCAGCCTTTTTCTCCTCCCTCTTCCGCTCTTCCACCTCCCTCTGCCCCGTTTCCTCCCGTTCGCGCTCAGCCTTTTTCTCCTCCTCCCTCTTCCGCTCTTCCTCCTCCCTCTGCCGCGTTTCCTCCCGTTCGCGCTCAGCCTTTTTCTCCTCCCTCTTCCGCTCTTCCACCTCCCTCTGCCGCGTTTCCTCCCGTTCGCGCTCAGCCTTTTTCTCCTCCTCCCTCTTCCGCTCTTCCTCCTCCCTCTGCCGCGTTTCCTCCCGTTCGCGCTCAGCCTTTTTCTCCTCCTCCCTCTTCCGCTCTTCCTCCTCCCTCTGCCGCTTTTCCTCCAGTTCGCGCTCAACCCTTTTCTCCTCCTCCCTCTTCCGCTCTTCCTCCTCCCTCTGCCGCTTTTCCTCCTGTTCACGCTCAGCCTTTTTCTCCCTCTTCCGCTCTTCCTCCTCCCTCTGCCGCTTTTCCTCCTGTTCATGCTCAGCCTTTTTCTCCTCCCTCTTCCGCTCTTCCACCTCCCTCTGTCCCGTTTCCTCCCGTTCGCGCTCAGCCTTTTTCTCCTCCTCCCTCTTCCGCTCTTCCTCCTCCCTCTGCCGCGTTTCCTCCCGTTCGCGCTCAGCCTTTTTCTCCTCCCTCTTCCGCTCTTCCACCTCCCTCTGCCGCGTTTCCTCCCGTTCGCGCTCAGCCTTTTTCTCCTCCTCCCTCTTCCGCTCTTCCTCCTCCCTCTGCCGCGTTTCCTCCCGTTCGCGCTCAGCCTTTTTCTCCTCCTCCCTCTTCCGCTCTTCCTCCTCCCTCTGCCGCGTTTCCTCCCGTTCGCGCTCAGCCTTTTTCTCCTCCTCCCTCTTCCGCTTTTCCACCTCCCTCTGCCGTGTTTCCTCCCGTTCGCGCTCAGCCTTTTTCTCCTCCTTCTTCCGCTCTTCCACCTCCCTCTGCCGCGTTTCCTCCCGTTCGCGCTCAGCCTTTTTCTCCTCCTCCCTCTTCCGCTCTTCCTCCTCCCTCTGCCGCGTTTCCTCCCGTTCGCGCTCAGCCTTTTTCTCCTCCTCCCTCTTCCGCTCTTCCTCCTCCCTCTGCCGCTTTTCCTCCTGTTCGCGCTCAGCCTTTTTCTCCTCCCTCTTCCGCTCTTCCTCCTCCCTCTGCCGCTTTTCCTCCTTTTCGCGCTCCATCTTCCTCGCCTCCTCGCTCTTCCTCTCGTCTTCTTCCCTTTGCCGCAAGTCCTCCTTTTCGCGCTCGACCTTCCTCTCTTTCTCCCTCACATTTTCTTCCTCCCTCTCCCTGTCCCCCTCCATCGAACTCACCTCTCGCTCCTGGTCCTCGAGTCTCATCCGCTTCTGTTCCACCCTCTGATTCGCCTCTTCCCCCTCGCGTGCTTCCCGCCCCTGATCATACTTCTTCTTTGTTCTTGCCTCCCGCCTCTGATACACCACCCTATTCTCACGTTCCTCTCTCTGCACCTCCTCCGATTCGCCTACGACATTCGGACTCCCCTGCCTCATGTCCGTACCCTGCCCCTGCTCTAGTTCATCATTCTCGACCGAGAGCTGCACTGCCTCAATACCCATTACTAACTCCTCCATCCTCTCCCCCTCCCCCCTCTGTTGTAGGGCATCCGATCCGCAACGCTCGGCCTTATCCTCTGGTTCCATCTGCTGCGCCTCCCTCATTCCACGCAAGATCTCGCGCGCACTCCTCTGAAATGGTTCCTCCTCTCTATCCATCCTCTGACGCTCATCCGTTACGCTCTGACGCTCGTTGGCCAGACCCATTCGTGCGCCGTCGGCAACCATGGCCCCCAACGCGACTATTTCCGCATCAATAAAGGGCGGGGCACCCGTGTCCTCAGCAGCGTCCCCGACGTGCCCCAAGTTGTGCAACTCTCCCGCACTCTCCTCAACACCAGCTTCAAGTCGCTTAAAATACTTTTCGCAGCTGGTCACTATGTCCTTGAATATATCCTCTCGCCGGTAGGGTGGTTTTCCGAGAACCCTAAATTTATCGTCTCGATCATGCTGTAAGAGAATCGAGTCAAACTGATCGAGCATTTTACGCCAGTGGTACGCTACATGAGAACCGCTTCCGACCTCCCTCGAGGAGACCATTGGAGTTAGCTTCTGCATGAAGGGGAAATGGAGCAGGTTAGCTCTTGTCCTGTTTAGAGTTCCAATGTACAAGATGAGTTTGCACCGTAAACTTACTGACGCACTGTCGAGCCTCCACCCGCTCGTAATCCGTCTCCTGATGTCGCGGAATGTTTCCTGCACCTCCGAGTCTCCATTGATTGCTTCTCCTCTAGAATACTCCGTCAAGAGCTGCACCTCCAGCCATCTGCTCAACATGTGGGGTTTCGACAAAATTAGGCTCTGATCTGCCGTACCGTCATCAAGCACATGTGACGAGCGACTGTAGCTAAATCTTACTTGACAACTTGTAGGGCGAGGTCGCTGTGCTTGTGTGGTGGAGAATTCGATTTGGGGTCGAAATGCAGCAGACGCGTCGCAACCGGAAGATTCGGGTGGTCGGCCAGACTGTCGGGCCGGACAAGCAAGAAAAGGCTACAGCGCGCTCCAGGCAGTCATGCTGCATGGGGCGGTGGGGTGAAAGGTTAGCCAGCGCGTAAAACCTCGAACAGCCGCTGTATGTTCAGAGCAATAAATATTGACACCGTAACCTATGAAATTCGAGCTTACCTTGACCACAGCGGAAAGACGACGAGTTGCTTGCCAAGCACACCATCGAGTCTGCCAGGACCCATGGGTTCGAAAGGTTGTTTCGCCCTGGCCGCATTTACTGTACTCATGGGGATGATTTCCATTTTCGAAAGCTGCTCCGCGGTCAGCCTCTCCTTTGCAATCTTCCTGCAAGAGACAACACAAGGAGCTTTCAGAGATCAGAGCAGCGCAACACAACACATCCGTATTCGCGGAAATATTTCTCGAAATAGAGATCTAAGCGCCTTTCGAGAACCGATCGCCTCTGTTGAGCAGTAGAATAGAGGAAACTACATCTCGGAATATGGGTAAGACGTTGGAGCGCCTAGAGCGTTTTTCGCTCGATCGCTACTTGTACTCTACACGTGACAGAGAGCCTGTAAATCTCGAAACGTGACATCTCTAGCCGAGAATCAATACTACGAGGGCATCTTACACCATAACAAAGTTGAGCATATTCTCGGTCCATTCCCCACGCTTGTGTCGCATGTTCTCGAACTCTAAACGAGAGAGGCGCACACGCAAGCCAGCAGCCTCTACTTCCATCGAAGGCTCCATTGACGAAGTGGAGGAAACAGGGAGGCTGGGATCTAAGGAAGAAGTTGGACAAAAACTGAAAGAGAAGATGTAAAATGGAAAAATGACCTCCGTTGGGCATTTATACCCGCCCCCCTCCGACCTGAGCCCGAACTTTGAGGTCGTGTTCAAACATTTGACCCTACATGGTTGTGGCGACCTCAAAGCAGTACTGACCCTTAGCCATGAAACCAGTACTGACCCGCGATCTAAAAGCCCCTCGTATGGGCACAATTTCAAGTTGTACTGCACTCTGAAAATGCGTCAGCGACAGATTTCGACCAATAACCATCCTCCCCACGCAAATTTCGAGAGTTATCCTTTGAGCCGCCACGTGGATGTCAGTGATTTCGAGTTCGAGTGCATGCAAGGATGGTCGAATTCGAAAATTGCCCAAATTCCATCGCCTAATCGCTATTATACAACTCGAAATTGGGCTACTAAGTTCGGTGCATGTGCCTCGTCGAAAATGCACCTCGTATGCGCCGAAAAAGCAGTTCCACCTCGGGGAAGTCACCCGTATGTCAGATCCAGTCTCGAAAATCACCACCCCTTTTTATGCGCTACTACAATCTACACCTTGGACAGTAATGTGTAAACTTTAATCAAGCCAGATTGCAAGCAGGCCTAACAAAACACATACAAGTGCCCCAAAACCCACACCACAAAGGACAATGCAAGGAGGCAATCCATGTGTAAGGCACATAATTACAACTCAACAACGCATTGAAAAACACAAGCAAATATAGATGTTAGCTTTCACAAACCCCCCCTAATTGTAATAGACGTGTAAATCATCTTTTTAACCAAAACCCAAAGGTTCAAAACGATGGAAGCACTAGGACACTATGTTAAAGTGTATTGGGGGAGGTAAACATCTACATCATCATAAGAGAACACAGCAAATAGATGTTGAGAACACCCAAGCAGATCATCAAACGTTTTCCCCATTTTCTCTCATCTTATCGTTGGTTTGACGTGGCATGTGTGATGGGCAGGGCATTCCAAGCCTAACAATACATTGAATGTTATGAAATAACAAATACAAAAAAAGCAATGTTGACTTGCTGTTTGCCAAACAATGACCTAGCATGTACTACTGACATACTTGAGTTGGCTAACATGAACCAAAAAGTACAAACGGTTGCAAACTTTAAAAAAGGTTAAAACAAGTAGAGCAGTACTAGAGGAGACAGATTCCAAAAAAAAAAACATGAAAACCCAAGCATATGTCCATGAAACCCCCAAAATATGACCATTTTGAGCTCCACATTTCAGCCATTTGTATGGCCATCCCTGCAAAAAAAACACTGAGACTGCATTGAATAGATACCTTAAGACATTCTTTATCCATTTCAATAATAAAAGCCCCCCCTTAAAACCACCCCATCATTCACATAATTCAGTAATACACATTGCATTGAGAATAAAATCATTGAAACAATTATACAGACTGACAGAATTTCGACAATCAAATACGCTACAGTGTATCGCGCGGCTGTCGTCAGGCGCTTGCGATCTAACTGTTAGTCGCCTGTGTTCACGCTTAACGATACGGTAACCGGCGTCTCCGTCAACTGTTCACGCTGGCGAAAAAATTGGCGAACTGGTTACCTTTCGCCAATTATCTATCTGGAAATAGATAAAACGGCCAAGCACCAGGTCCAGCTGGGTCGTAGTTTTTTATTTCGCCTCTGGCATTTTGGGGGTTTGGGTCGAGGTAGGTCGAGCGCCCGAGCCGCGCCCTTCCCCGTGGCCATCCACATCTATTTCGGGAAGGGAAATGCAACGGAAATGGGGGCTGCATGAAAGCTGGCATGCATGAAGGATATTCAATACACACTGTTTAATTGTGTACAGAATACACCCTGTTTTTTCGCTACACTGATTCGCGTTAGAATGTTACTGATCCTTTGCAGTACTCGGATTTTTACCAGTACCGGAACCAGTCAACCGTCCCTACCACGCGGGTGTGCGAGGGTAGTTTCTCAAGATGCACTTTTCCTAGATACCCTAGCTAGCCATTCCACAATGTCCAGAGACCTTTTGAAAACGTAATAAACCACACTTGATCTCGCTTGTTCAAAAGTTCACTATAGCGCGGGTGATAGCACGCTTCTGTACGGGGTGAGTTTCTAGAAACAGGAAATTTTATATGGAAAAAATCACTTTGGCGAGAAAAGGGTGTATATAGTTTCTGCATCTCTTAGCATCTTGTACAAATTCTTTCTTCAAAGCTGAATGGCTAGGCATCTTGACGGGACATCTTCAAGATGAGACTACACCTAGCCCGCGGAAATTTCACCGTGTGAAAGTGAGTGGCAGGATTTTGGATTATCTGGCCGTGGTGAAGATAAACGTTCAAAATTTGGGTCGCTATTTTCACCACAAAATATCTGACCAACATATAAAGTTCTGACAGTACCCCGCAAAAGGAACACTTTGCTCTTTATCGCACCGAGTTTCGGGTAAGAGGGAGAATCGACGGTGACGATTCGCTGAGAGAATACTAAAAGAGAAGTCGTGATTTGTGTCTCGCCAGTGCGCACATCCCCTTAACGGCGCCAGCTGAAATATCAAAGGGCCCGCGATTTCTCCCGCTTGGTTCGGTCAAGTGTGTACAGTGATTTCGGCCGCCCAACAGGTTCCGCCCAACAAGCCGACAAACGTGGTGAAGATACCGCCGGTGAATTTACCGCGGACCCGGTGTATCTAGGGTTGCCCTCCGTGGACTGCTATACTAACATCCCAAAAATGGGGCCCCTCAAAAAGTAGGGTTTTGTGGGGTATGTCTGAAGTAACTTCTTCAACTGAGTGGGGAAAGATACTTTCGACGCGTCGCGTCGAAACGAAATCAGGGATTGCTGCTTCAGGACTCTCGAAACTTCTTGGGCAGACATGTTGGCAGCTTCGGAAACCACACGATTTGTCGAAGAGCTCGTTCGGCGGGGTCGACCTCATATTTGAGCCTCGGGACACCTAGATCGAGGCCCGGAACTGGGCATCCGTGTCCCATTGGCTCTGGGCCTCGAACTAAACTGCTGTGCTGGCGAACTGGAAAATGTGATAATAGCAATTACTTGTACAAACGTTGATTGTAAAACATATACCTAAAAAAACAATAGCTGTGCTCTAAGCATTACAAATGTGCATCATGTAATAGATGCCTATTTACAGGAATAGCAAATACATTGTTGCACTATGGTACTTGTTACGAATAACAAAAATGGAAAACTACTGTTCACTCCAGATGAAAGTGAATGAATCTATTACTGAGGAGTACGAAGACAAAA